GAGGTGGGGGCTCTGTAGCTCTGCTCGTCCCTTACGCCGCTTGGAGCGACCCGAATTCTCATTTTTGTGGGTGCTGTTGTCCTGTCTCATCGCTTGGAGCTGCCGGTAGTCCCTGAGGTGAGTTCTCGCCCGGGTAAGTGTAGCTGGGTGGGGGTGGAGGGGGCGGCTGGTGTGACCTGGTTCGACCTGGTTCTCCTTGGGGTGCAGGGGGAGAGGGCTCCTGGAGCTGTGAGCAGAAGGGGGCTTAAACAAGGGGAGTGCTGAGATCTGCGGCTGTCAGCCTTTCTTTGACTCTGTGGCTAAGCTTTTGACTTCAAGCTATACTAATTAAAAGCAGCTTCTTCTGTAGACTTCTCGTGAACGAGGAATCACTTGCCTAGCTATGTAATGGCAGTGATAAGCTCTAGAGCGCCTGGCTGCTCTTAGCAGTGCAAGGGAATGCTCTGATCTGTTTGTCTCAGATGGGGCTGGAAAACAGTAGTGGAGTAATCTATTTATATAGGGTGTCCTCTAATGGTTTCTTTTTCTGGTAAAAAGATGTTTCTGCTAGTAAAATAGCTGGTATTACTCTTGACTGTTCAAGTGCTACAAGTTGAGCTAAGGGCTGCGTTGCTAACCTAGGAGATGTTCTTTTCTTATACTGAGGAAACAGTTAAACACTACAAAGAGGTGACAAAACAAACCAAAAGTATTAGATCTTCCTGTGTAGGATTGCCAGTGAGACCTTGCTACTTTCCCAAACTGATACAAGATCCTTTGGGAATATGAGCCTACCACATTCATTAATAATGCCTTCAAACATAAGAGTCTGTAGCTAAGCTGCTATGAAATGGTGTGAAATATAGGTTTGTTCCCCCTCCTCTAGGGACCAGCACTAGCAGCTATGTTGTCTTTAATGTGGTTTGTTTAAAAAGTGTGCTGTGGTGGAAGAAATGACAAGAATGATTTCCTCTTTTTCCTGTATGGGCTTTCCAGAGTGGTCTTATCAACCTGAAGATGGCAACACTGATCCTTATTGATAAGGAGAATGGTGAAGTTGGTGCTACTAAGAATCAGCTAAGGCTCCCTTCAGGATCTTGTGCGTATATGCTGCCCTAAGCCAGTAAGGGATCGAGTGATGTGTATAAATCATATTTGTTAGTCACTTTTTTGAACAGTTATAGTTTTCTGTTCTTATACCTACTTGTCTAACTAGTTTTGCTGAACTCTGAATTACTATGAAAATAACTTTGTGCTTTTGTCATAGAAGGGACTTATGTTCCAGTTATAAAAATTGTTGTTCACCACTTATGACAACTAGTTTTCCACCACATGTACTTACTGAAACAAACTTTAGGTTGATATGGTGCTAAAGTTTGCTTTTTTCTTCCCCTCACTCTCCAGCAAAAGTCTTATCTGAAAGAGTGCAAGTTAACACTCCACTTCCTAAAAAAACCCTCAGTACAACTCCAGCCACATCTCGGTCTGTGAGAAAGGCTCTTGGAAATGTTAATAGAACTAAAGAAGTCACAAGCAAGACGGAAAAGATAATACAGAAAAATCAGCCTTGCACTGCAAACAAAGTGAGTACAAGACACTTCTATGGGGGAGAGGGTGGAGAAATACATAGTTTACCTACTGTTGTGGCTTAAGGCAGCTAAGCACCACACAGCTGCTTGCTCACTCCCCCCTCAGTGGGACAGGGGAGAGAACTGGAAAGGTAAAAGTGAGAGAACTCATGGGTTGAGATTAAGACAATTTAATAACTAAAAATCTCCAAGAAAAACAAAACCAGCTTCTCACCACCAGTTGACTGATGCCTTGCCAGTCCCTGAGCAATGGCAGCCCTAGTGAACTTGCCCACCAGTTTTCATTGCTCAGCATGGTACTGTAGGGAATATTCCTTTTCAGCAGTTGGGGTCAGCTGTCCTGGCTGTGCCTCCTCCCAACATCTTTTGTACCCCCAGCCTACTTGCTGGTGGGATCATGAGAAGCAGAAAAGACCTTGATGCTGTGTAAACAGTGTTCAGCAACAGCTAAAACAACTGTTATCGATGCTGTTTTCATTATGAATCCAAAACATGGCATCATATGAGCTACTAAGAAGAAAAATAATTCTATCCTAGCTGAAACCAGTACACTTACATAGGTACAGGGAATACAACAGCTTAGGGGGCCCAAAATGGCAAAGAAGTGGCTCTAAACAGTCTGAGTTAATGTCTTGTTTGTATGTTAAATATCAGGAGTTTAATATTATGAACCTAAATGTTCTAGTGCAGTGATTTGTTGTCACCACATGTACTGCACTACATGAACTCAACTGGAGCACTTGCCCATCTCTAGCTTATTTGTGTTGAAGGTATTACAGTCCTTAGTTATACCTGAATTCTATGGCAGGCATTCTTGTCTGTAGACCAGTATAGCACAGGAAAACCCCTGCAAAGGTACTACAGTAAGTCAAATAATGTGGCTTTCCCTTTTTAAGATTACTGAAAAGACTGCTGGATTAGAAAGCTGTGATGCAGTGGCTGAAGAAGACTGGCCAGAAATAGAAAATATGTTTCCTTTTGATCCTCAAGGTAAGAACTACTGGTGTAACTATTAAAATAAATAATCAGGCTTTCATGAGTATGGACACTGTAAGACTTTGGGCAAGCTATTGTGGCAAACAAGCCACCATAGCATTTCTCTGGAGTCCTTCCTAGGACAAGGGTGCTTGCTATGTCTGAAATACCATCTTATTCTGGTGCAAACACTTCTAACTGCAATAGCTGTGCTCCAGTTATGTAGTAGTCTGAGTCCATTATTATGGTGGCAGGCAACCACTTCCAAGTAACAATGCTATAGCCTCTTAATTAAATGGCAACTAGTAGACAAGTATTCAAAGGAGTACTGAAGAGTAGACTTCTCTTAAGACTCTATGCCAAGATGGTAAATTGTAACTGAAGAGATTCCTACTGCTGCATGATGTAAGAGTTCGAAGATGAAACTTGTAAAGCTGTTCTTAGCACAGCCTGTTGCAGATCTTCAATCTTCTTCTATCTCAGTCCTTCAAAGCGTGTCCTTAAACCATCCAGTTCATGTGGAAGTGAGTGTGCAAAAACTGCTATACCAAAGATGACTACAGTGTTGGTGAAATACACATGCAGTGCTTGATGAAGTTGACTTACTATAGTGATTGGAAAGAAATTACTAAAATCTCCTGCTTTACATTAGTAGTTGTTATGCAGCTTAGTCTTTTGATAAGTGTTGGTGCATGGAATTTTATGGACAACTAAGGTGTAATTGCAAGTAAATACCCCATAAGAGGGGACTGTTGGATTGTGTTGTTTTGGACCTGCTCCTACTTCATTTAATCTAGGAGAATTTGCAGCTTCCCAGGCTACTGCTACTGTACACTGTTGCTAAACTAGTGTCTTTCTCAAACAGACTTTGAGAGTTTTGATCTTCCTGAAGAGCACAAAATAAGCAACATCGACCTGCGTGGTGTTCCCCTCATGATATTTGAAAGGACATATGACAGACTTGTGAACATGGTTCCTTCACCTGTGAAGATTGAAGAGATTTCATGGGAGTCTAGTAAGTGGAGACTTTAGCATGAGTTTCAGTACATAACAGTGCTCATTAGTGGTTTGGGAGGGAAGCTAGTTGGCTGCAGTGGTGAACTGCCACTGCTGCCCTAACTACCAGAATAGCACACTAGTATCAAACAGCTTTTAATATATAGTTAAGCTGAATCTAACCAGTCAACCCCACTAGTACAGGTAGTGGTCTCAAAGTGATGTTGCTGAACAATCTCTTGCAGTGCATTGCTAACTGGTCAGCTAGGTGGAACTTGCTTATGCAATCAAACAGTATTCCCCTTAGTCATTCAAGAGGCTTCTGCTAATCCACTGAGACCTAGCTTATGTTGGAGAGTATAAATTCTGGGTTTCATGAGAAACTAATTTACTCTATTTCTAACTTTCAGACTTGCTACAGTCAACTGCTGAGTTCCTTGCTACCCTGGATGAGATCACTGACATGCCACCTCCGAATTATGACCCTTAATGCATATTCTGAAGCTTCTATTGAGTTCAAATTTCATGTGGTTTTGTGTTTTAATAAAGGGTAATCTAATCTGTATAATAGTGACTTGTCTATTTTCAGTAGACCTGAGATGTAGGTAGTAAAATAGTCTCCCTTTCAAAGCACTATCTGACAAGCAATTAAAGCAGAGCCTGGATAAGCTTCTAAGCAAGACTAATTCACTGTTGTGAACCATATTGAGAACTTGGTATCTGCTGATTAGACTACTTGGTCATGATAGGTTAAGAGGTACTTCTGACCTCACTGTGTACATAACTTATACAGATTA